GATCACACAGTACTCTGCTGCCTTTATATGGAACTCTGCAACATCAATCACTTTTACAGAACTCTTTGACTTCCTGTGTAACTCTGTGATTTAATATGAACTCTGTGACTTCAATACAGAACTCTATGACAACTCACCAAACTCTTTGATCTTTACGGAACTCTTTTTAAAACAAATCTCTGGATATCATACAGAACTTTGACATGATACGGTATATGTAAATTAAAACGGCTACTCTGTGATATTCATAGGACCCTGTAACTTTGTACAGTACCCTTTGAAATCACACTGAGCACTGACTTTATACAGAACCCTGTGAGAGGGATACAGAATTTCTGACTTTTTACGCAACTTTGTGATATCATATGGAATCTCTGACTTTTCACAAAATGCTGTGACATCACAGGGAATGCTGTTATTTATTATGGTACTCTGTGCATCATACAGTACTCTGTAACTTAAAAGGAACTTCATATGCAATTCTTTGACTTACATACACAAACACTGTGACTTCATATGGAACTCTGTGACTTTATACAGTATTCTGTGACTTACTATGGAAGTCTCTGACTTAATATGCTACTCTGTGACTTCATACGGAACATTGTTTAAAATGAACTCTGTGACTTCATACGGAAGTCTGTGAACATCACACGGAACTCTGACTTTATATGGAACTCTGTACCATCACATGGAAGACTGACCTTTTGCAAGACTCTTTGACTTCATGTGGAATACTGTGACTTCATACAGTACTATGTAATTTAATACAGTAGTCTGTGACAACACACCAAACTCTGGGTGACTCTATACAGAGCTCTGGAACATCACACGGAAACTTTTTATGGAACTCTGTGACATGGTACGGTACTCTGTGACTTAATACGGAACTCTCTGACTTCATAAAGTACCCTGTGACTTTATACGGAATGCATTCATATAGCACTTTGTTGACTTAATACAGCTCTGTGACATCATACGGTACTCTCTGGTTGTGTATGAAATCACTCACTCATTCACTCCTCCCTAGTCACTATCCAGGGACATCTATGTAGAGGACTAAATAGTGAGCTAATTGGCAAAATGAAAAAAAACTTTCAGACTCTACTCAGGGTAATTTTCTTCCTCACCATTTTTCTGTCTTCAGCACAAGCGGCAATGCACTGAATGGTTTATATTGCTTGGTTTATTAACCATTGGTTGTACACTACTTTTCATGATGCATTGTGGGACACTATGAGTCCACTACGTAGGGTGTGATTCATTCTTACTATACATTTGGACAGCACTACAAAATGCAACTTACATTTATAATATATATATTATTATATATATATATAGCCTATATTTACTTACAAAAAAGTGATGAGATCAAATCTCAGTTTGACTTTAAAGCTTAGTTCTTGTGTGAATCTCCAGTTTCTGTTCCTCCCTTATCATCACTGCAGGTGGTTTAATCAAGTCTTTCACATAAGCAAGTAACTGCTGTTTTCTCATCTCAACCTGTTACTGACATAATGTTCTGAAACAAAACTGGTGTTTAAATGTGACGATTTAAGAAGACAAAGTGTTTCTGGAGCACAAATGTAGAATTAAAAACACACAATGTTACAGTCTGTCTCTTCTTGGTAGTTTTCTCCTCTGCACTCTTTCTTTAGTGTTTCAGGCTGATACCATGTGGAT